ATTCACTCCACAGCCAGGCACTCCTGCCCCGAGGCGGGCACAGGAATGGCTTGTGAGCAGGACAGACTCTGTCCCTGGCATCAGTGAGATCAGGTGCTTAACTCAGCTGAAGACTTTCTGAGAACTTAGAAGCCATCCGGGTCTGCTTCAAGAGTGGTAGGCCTGTGGCCTGGCAGAAGACGCCTGGAGGAAACAAGACTTGAGCGAATGGGTAAATGAGTGATAGTAATGCTCCTATTTATTCACCTGGTACTTACTTGATGCGGGGCACTGAGTTAATGCTTTCCCTGAAGCTCATTTAAGCTCCTCAATACCTTATAAAGCAGGTACTGGTATTATCTCCTGTACAATGCTGGCAGCTGATGCTGGGGAGGTGAAGTCACCTGCCCCAGGCTACGTAGGAAGCCTTCCTATGACCCAGGAAGCCAGGACCATGCCCCACAGCCACCCAGTTTCAAAGCCAAGCACTGTATTACCTCTGTGGGGAGTGGGAGTTATGTTTAGGGGAACGGACACAGTGAGAGCCCACCATCTGCTACTCCCTCCTTAAGAAAGGTATCATAGGGAGTGGCTTCACGTGGACAGGAAATGATTCCCACATAGGCTCCTTCCTTGTTTCCAGGGGGTAGGATCTCCCTGGGCAAGGCAGGGGCGGTGTCAACACCAGAGACCCGCTCAGGGGTGAGGGACAAGCAGGTTCCAGCAAGTCAGGGGAGCCAAAGGAGTCGCCAAAACCTGTCTTACTGGTTTCTCACAAGTATTTCGCCCACAAAGCCAAACAGTGATGGGAGTGCTGGAGTGTGTTTTGTTCCTGGGCTCAGGCTCCTATGAAAGTGGGAGCTGATTTCAGCATTGGTTCTAAACATCTGAACAAAAGGACAATAACCCCCTACACCCCCTCCCAACACACACACACACACACACACACACACACACACACACACGGCCACTGCACCAGGCAGTCTGACAGTGACAATGTCCCTTGCTCTAGCCTGTGTGACCTCCCTTGAGGGCTCACCCAGTTGCCTTGCAGAGGGTTTCCTCCTTCCTTTAGCATCTCCAGAGGTCTTAACTCTCTTCAGTGAAGGGGATCTTCTCCTCCAGGACCATGGCCAGTCTCACCTAGGAAGAGTTGGGGTTTCCCTGGCAACAGTGTCAGGCATTGAGAGGGGGCAGGAGAGGGAATGAGTCCTGGGCATGAGACTGGACCTGCAACAGAGGACACCAAAAAGGCTCAAAGCTTTCTTTAGCCAACTTGTCCACTTCTTCCCTCTGTCAAACCACATCCTCATTGGTTCCAGGTACCCTTTAGCAAAAATGACTCCCATCAGGTGCTATTATTCTGTGCCACCGGCACTGGTTTGTGCTTCTTACATGGTCCCAGGGGGCTCAGCTGTGGGGCCAAGCAAGTGACAGTCTCCCTAGCCTCCAGCTCTTCGCCGGAGCACACCCTCACTCCCATCACACACAGGGAACCTTACAAGCCTGTGGATGTGCTTTGGCTGCGAAGATGCCATGAATATTGAACATTTCTAGTTGTCTCCCACTCCCTGCAAAGAGCTGGGGTCTGCACCCAGGCTGCTGTGAATTACACCAGCAGAGGAAGAAAGGGGCTCCAACAAGCTTAATTAGGGCTGGCAGTGAGTGCCCCTTTTCCCAGCCCCAAGTTTGGCTGTCAGATGCCCCGTGCTGTTGGTCACTCGAGACAGCTATCCATGATGCAGGGCAGCTGACCACTTGCCCACTTAGGCAGGAGACTGGGTGGGTGAGAAGGCGTGAAGAAATGATTTCAGTGTTGATTCCTGTTCTGAAAAGAGAAGGCACTGTGTTAGACAAGAAACAGGACCGGAAATGATGAGCTGAGGATGAAGACATGTTCAGTCAAAAGTCTGGCTCTCTCCCCAAATTCTAAGTGGCCTTGGGCATAGGAGCCCCCTGTAGCCCCCATCTCTCTGTGGAGAGAAGTGAGTGTCACATGAATAATGGTCATTGTCCTGTCCCATGACGACTCTTAGCTAGATGCTCTTTCTGAGTAGAAGCCTCTGCATCTGTTAGGGCTGACTTCCAAAGGTATTCAGAGCCGTGGACTGTTTGATGTGACTCAAACCTCCAGGATGACAAATTTAATATATCAGTTCAATCAAGAAAGGTACAATAACAAAATTGAGAATGAGGTCCCCCTTCAAGTGGGTATTTGCTGGAGTGCTGGCTTACATCAAACACGAGCCAGCTTGCTACTACACCTGAGACTTGTCACAGAATAATAACACCTTCTGATGATCAAAGCACTTTGACCTTTGATCCTTAGTGTCCTAATCAGATATGGTGGATGTATTATCCTATTTTATAGATAAAGATATTGAGACACAAGTTAAGTTCCCAAATCAGGGATGGAGCTTGAACCAAGAGCCCAAGTCTCTCTCCCTTGCTCACCATGTGCTATTTAATACTGAGGGAAAACAAGAAAATAATAAGCAACTTGAGTTTTTAATCACAAGTCTTGTTAATAAGATGAAAGAAAAGGAAATTTAAAATATAGATTTATATCTTCAAATATTCTTAAAAAAATAAATAAAGAAGCTGGGTTGCTCCAATTATTAGGAGCTCCACCCCTCCCTTGTCCGCCTACGAAGCAGGAGCTTCCTTGTGCTGGTGTCTTAGGTGGATCCACACGCTCCAACCGATACTGGTTGTCAGTTTCATTGAGAAGTTAGTTGCTCAATATGTATTAAGGCCTCAGTACTATTTCAGCACAAATGAAATAGCAATGCTGCTTAGATGTCTTTATTAAAGGAGCTACATAACTGGAACATTTCCTTTTGTGTCTTTTTCCTTCCAGGTCCCCTGGACTTGGTGTGGGCTGGGGGTGTGTGTGCAGTACTGAGGGGTGGGAGGTGCTTGCCTGGTTGCCCTACAGGGAAGGAGAGAATCCTCAGTGTGTTTGATGGGCTGAACCAGAGAGAGATGGAATTGATCACACTTCTCAGTTGGAGGGTATAGGACTTTATCCCTTGCGTACAGGCCGGGGGTGGGGGGTGAGTCATGGGAATTCATAGGGATCAAGAGGGGTTTTGCTTGAGAAAGTCACAGTGGGAACTCCAAGGCAAATGTCCCTTCACGGCCTTGGGTCTCACTAAGGACTTGGGGACAGTCCCTAAGGGCCAAACTCTTGGTCTAAACTCTGCTGCTCAGAGCGGTGAGATTTTCTTCCAAAGAATAGACCAGGCTGAGGGATGGGAAGGTTTCCAGACTGGGGTTCTGTGCTTAGGGCTGACTCTTAGTAAACCCACAAGCTTGGCCATATTTTCCCTTGTTCATCCATCTACCCCTGAGCGTCTTCAGGGGCTGGCCTGCTCTGGCCACCCACTGCTCTCCTGTCTCCCTGTGGCTCTTGGGCAAGACTCCACTATGAATGCAAACAAATGCTGGGTCCTTCCTTGTGTCTGCACAGAGAACCTTGGACTTAATGATAGAATGGAATCAAGCTACAGAAAGATTCTGCAGGGACAGGAAGCTTTTTCCTCACCTCTGAAGTCACACTTGGAACATTCATTTAATAAATGATTCTCAGCACCACCTGTGTGCCATGTTCTGAATGCCACCCGGCTCCTCGCTTTCTCAAAACTACAGGCAGCTGTCCACTTCCTCTGTCTATAGATTTGTTGACAGCCCTGGACTGGGCATTTGATGACACCCATGGTTCCACCCTGATAAAATTCCACTCAATTCTAGCTCCAGCTGCCCTCCACTGGCCCTGCCCTGAGGGACAAGAGCTGGACAGCAGCCCCGAGAGAGAGGACAGGAATTCTGAACAGAGGGACCCCACTCCTCTAGGGCTGCTGTGTCCACTGAGGAGGCCCCCTTCCCCTTCCCTTTCCCAGCCTCAGGCTCTAAACTGGGAAAGCTGTCCTGACATCTCAGCTTGGCTGGGGTCTCTGTGAGAGTCACCTGACAAAAAGCTTCTGGGTCAGGAGAGGCTGGCAGGCTCCATGGCCCCAGATGGTTCCCTCCAGCCTCTCCGGGGCGGG